TATAATGGAAAAATATGAGGAATCACTTGCAGATTTAAACAAATAACTAAAAATCAAAACAAATGATATATGGACGCTAAATGCCTGTGAAGAAGTTACTAATATGTATGAATATAAGTGTTTATATTAATTATTTAAATATAAATTCATTTAAATTATCTATATTTGTAGGAGGTAACGATATTTTTACTTCATTTTTTATTTAAAGTTCATAATAAAATTTTATTTATAATATGGAGAGTCGAGTAATTGTAAAAGATACTCACTGTTCTATTTGTTAAATTAGAAGTTCTATCTTTATACGTTTCAGGTTCAATTCAAATAATAGAAAAAAGATTTAAAGAGAATCCGGTATAGATAATACTATTGTTAAAATTTTATTATTTTAAATGTAATTCTATGAAATCTAATATTTCAGTAAGTTATTTTGTTATTAACGTTAAATTAAAAAAAATTAATAATGTCAATTAAAAAAAATCTCTTGATTATAATATTCCTCCTAATAACCCTTTATTATCTTTATCACCATTTTTTGAACCGTTACTTGGTCCACAACCCCTATTTACTCCGGAACATCGACGTTTTGTTAACCTTAAAATTTTATTAATTATTAATATTATATTATTTCAAAATCTATGCAAATAACAAAGTTTACAGAAATTTCATTTAGATAAATAGAGATGACTTACAATTCAGAATTAACATTTCGTTTGGTAGATTTACCAAATGTACGTGGTAAACTTAATACCGTTGAAATTAAAAACAATAAAGTGATGAAAGTGAAAGTGGATAATTTCATTTTAAAAAAATTAATTTATTTTGATTTATTCTGCTAAGACTTTTACTTTCTAAGAGAAAAAAGAGTTTTTTTGGGGGTAATTTATAATGAATTTTCATCTTGTATTTCGTCATTTCCTATTGGCACACTTGTAAAATACAATATAAATACAATAACATCCTTATTTCCCAAAAGAAAATGAATTTATAATTTATATTTAAATCTATTTTAGGATCGAAACTTTAAAGGGGAAGAATTTGATCACAACTGAAATATTTCCGCTCGCTCATTTGTAAATTTTTATTTGTCGTCCAAAAATGCGTGTTTATAATTGGTCACTTATCTTGTTTAACAAATAATTCGAAAAGGAAAGAATTAATAGAGATGCGCGTTATAAAACTTTTGCATTTTTCTTTTCTTTGCCAAAATAGGTTTAGATTTATTATTTTTTAAAAAAAATCAACGCAGTGATCTCATGTGATCAAAAGCCTATTAAAAATAAATAAATGAATTAAAAAAATGAGGGCTCGAATTTTTTTTTCAAAAAAAAAAAAGAATAAAATTTCATTACGTTTTATTTAATTATCAGGAAGATGTCTTCTTGTTTAAAATGAATTTAACTATTAATTATGCGCGATTTTGATGATTCATCGATCGGAAAGTTTGATGATTACAACTACTTTGAAAATAATTTTTCGCAGATTTTACTTGAATTGCATATACTAAGATATTTTAATAATATTACATTACATGTTTTATTTTTAAAGATATTATGCCACGATAAAAAAATAAGTATTCATTTTGATCTTATAAAAACGGAGATAAGGATAAGACTCAAAAATGTAAAAAATATGACGTTTTAATTTTATGCAATTTACGCTAATACTGCTTAAACTGTTCCTTATGGTAGAAAAAAATATATATATTAATCCTATGTTATTGAAGATAATACACGTATAAGAGATAACAATTAAATTTATAGATTGTATAACAAAAAAAATAACAAATAAATTCTTAAAAAAACCGTTACCCCATATATAATAATAAAGGATTATTTCTTAAGTTATGCAGAGCAGACAACAATACTATCTATGATAATATACAAAACTTTATTGACTAGTAAAGTTGATTTTCCTAGTTCAGATATTGGTGGAACAATGTGCTAAAAATTTTGAACGTACAGGTACTATGGTTATTATACGTTTGGCACCCTGCGCAGTCCAAAAATGTAGTGTTTTTTTTTGGCACAAAAACTGAATGGGATGGGATTTTTCATGGGATAGTATTGATAAATACTCGCGAAGTAAAGCACAGGAAATTTACTATCACGCACCACATCAAATATCGTTATTTTTAATATTTGATCATCAAACATAAAATGGGTGATGTTTATTTTTATTCATTTATTTTTTTTTTTTTTAGAAATTGATTTAAAGGTGCTTAATTTTTGCATTAATAATCTTTTTATTTATTGTATTTTTATAGCATTTATACTAGGCAAGTTTCGAATTTACGGCAAATGCATGTCATCCAACATTTTATATAAATACATGGTGGGTTTGAGCGCACCTAGTATGAATATTAAAACATTTTGGTCATAAACAGGATAATATTAACGAATCATATTTGTAACTTGGAATATTAAGATACATAAGTTTATGTTTAAAATTTTATTAGATTATTATTACAAAAAAAAAAAGTAAAAATGCTCCGCTTCGATTCAATGAGCTCATTCAAACGAAAATAATAATAATATTTTTAAGTTCTCGCATTGACTATTTCTTTGGTAAAATTTCGATTTTTCCGGCCATATCACTATCACAACTAAAAATAAGAAAAAAGAAATTCACGTTATTCAACATTTCAACATTCATTCATCTTAATTTTATCGAAAATGAATGATACTTACTGATAAAAGCATTTATAATCGAATTCAGGTTGCTTTGCATTATATGTAAATGCTTTCGGACTAGTGACTTTATCACCTTTCTTTTGACCTTTAGCATTTATCTTCATTACAGCTTTTAATGGAAAAAAGACAAAAAAAAATCAACAACACATGCAAAAAAATAATCATTATATAACTTATATTATAACTTACGACTTTGGCCACCATTGCAGTCTCCAAAAGGACCTGCATTGCTAGTAACCGTGTGTCTTCCATTTTCAACCCAGACTATTGTACATAAATATTTTAAGAAATTAAAATAATTAAAATATTCACTTATATTAAGAAATAAAAAAAATAAAAATATTGAATGTATACCCCATTCAACGTATTGTCCATCGTAAACTGAAAGACAATCTGGCTTAAATTCACTATTTTCAACTGACACAGTTGCTGTTGGGGCCGAAGGATCAGCAGTAGAAGTGATTGTACAAGTTCCTGCTGCCAATGTTTGCAAGGTGAAAAACGCAAGGATAGCTAAGAAAACTGAGAGAACTCTTGACATTTTGGTAATTTATTTTAATGTTCTTGAGATTTGATGGTAGTATGAAACTTCAAAAGACTGTGTATTTATAAGGATGAACAAATTAATAAATTTCCTCGAAAATTCAAGATTAAATAAAGTAATTAAATTTTAGCGAAAATAATCTTATTAACATAAGCCTACATCAGAGTATAACGTATTATTATTTAACAAAGCCTTAATACCTTAATACAATGAGGCTACAATAGCGAAAATCACTCATATAAGCCACACTAGCTTAAATGCCTCAGCTTGGCTTTAATTAAAATCGTAGCTAAAATTACTCATAGATTGATTGTTTAAGCCACCTTATAGAGATATTGCTTATAAACCTTATTAACCTTGCCTTAATAAAGTTGACCTATTAAAATGTCAATGTTACCTTTATTTTACCATTTTTCGTTATTTAATTCGAGTTGTCAAGTATATTGATTATTCAATAATGAATCGCTTAGAGCTAATATTATTATTATTATTGTGTGTTTAAAAAATATAATTACTAGGCAAAAAAATACCCGAAAAGCACGGCTTTAAGTATTCAACAACAAAATAACAAAAATTAAGTATCAATGTAAGCTGGGGGGTTTTTTTTTCTAATTGTCGTAATAATACAAATAATAAACTCTATGGTTAATATTTATTTGTTTTTTTTTTGTTTTTCTAATATTTCGTTCATTAAATAAGCCAAAATTGATTTCCGAAATGCATTGTTGAAAGAATTATAAAGTGCTAAATGGTTTAGTTAATTCATTGTATTACATATATATTCCTGCATATAAAAAGAAGCGTACTATTAAAAAATAAGGCCATAACTGTAACTACAAAATACTACTATGGCCAAATCCTTTTGATGAAGCTTTTGTTTAATAACATAGCATTAGCATGTATAGCATTCATTATGGGACCAATTTGCTGATCGTACAAATATGTTATCAGATGCCACAAATGATATCGCTAACTTTGCGTGGCCTTGCAATTGATCATTATCTTTAACAATCAATAGGCGAAGTGCAGTAACTGTGGCGATGCGATTTTTCTTTGCTGAGTGGGCTCAAAAAATTCATCTGACTAAAAATACCAGTAGGACGATTTTACCGTCAACTAAGCGCTGAGTAATTATCAAGCATATCTGATATTCCATAATGCTTAGTACTGACATAATTCTTCAAAATAGCAAAAGCCCGATATCATTTTACAAATATTTGACGATTAATTTTAGCAAAATTGTTTTACACTCACTTAACTGATCGGTTTCAAAGAAATAGCAGCGCAATTCATTAGTCTTTTTATCATAAAGCCATTACATTGTATTATTTCTGGCTTAGTTACTGTGCAAAATGGTCAATATTTCATGATTAGATCTATTAGATCTACAAAAAAAATAAAAAAAAAATAAAAAAAAAATGTTCATTCGCATCGAAAAAGTTAGATGAAGCAACTTGATAAGCTTTAAAAATGTTTAACGTTAAATTCTAAATTACATATGTGAGCTTTTTAGCTAAAAATGAATTTCAATTCGACGTTCACGTGAGTTGGTATAAACCAATGGGAGGTTTGGAAAATTTTTAATTTTGTTTGACATTGAAGGTAAAGTAACTTCGTCTTATTTAAATTATTGGAATAAATTATAAAACAATCCAAAGTCTACTTGCTTCAAAATGTCTGCCACAAAATTTGGCTGAATTGAATAATTTGGTTTAAAAAATCAACGTACGATCGAGCGTTAAAAAAAAATCTTTCTAAGTCTCTAAGCCGATCTAGCTTAGCCTTATCAAAGAGCTCAAATTTCCATTCCATGGAAAACTCTCATTAAGCTTAGAATCTACCATATGATCTCTCTATATCGATTTTGCGAAATTATTTTTTTATATAAAGTCGATTCAAGATCATCCTTGTTGACGATGTAAAATTCGTAAAAGTAAAAAAAAGTTTCAAGTAATTTACAAAATGAAATTTATTTCCTTCGCTTCTGTTTTCAGTTGCCTTCTTTCGTTTACCCTTGCCAGCCTTCCTAAACTTCCTAATAAAGGAAATGCGATAGTTCGCACATCATCAAAATGCGAAACTCCTAAAATAAAAATAGGATGCGATGTTCACTTTAGTGCAAATCTGAACAATTTAAGGAATTGTCCTATCGGCTCAAAAGCATGGCCTCTAATGTTTCCATGGGAAGTCAAATATCAAATGGCGGATGGAAAAAGACTACCAGAACCAAATCCGAAGAATTTGACAAATCCGGTTCCACCTGATGGTTATGTGCGAAGTGTGTATACTATTAATGGAAAGACTCCCGGTCCAACTATTTATGCAATAAAAGGAGATTGGGTTTTGATTCCTGTTACAAACAATATTAAGAAATCTATTGAGGGTGGTAAAATTCAACCAGAATTACTTACCATTCATTGGCATGGTATTACCATGAGAGCTAAGGAGAGACAAACGCCACCAAACGATAGCGAACCACTGGGGACTCCATTCATGGACGGTGTACCGGGCATCAATCAATGTCCTACTCCTGGATTCAATGATACGCAAAATAATAGATTCGATTACTTTTTCCAATTTGTAGATAGTGGGACATTTTGGTAGTGAGTATCAAATTCAAATTATATATATAAATATAAATAGAATTTACACAACTATTATTATATATATTATTTTTCAGTCATTCACATTATGAAGGCCAACATGGAGATGGTCTTGTTGGTTCTATGATCGTTAAAGACTGTAAAGATGCCAAACGATTCGGTTATGAAGAAGACGACGATTGGAATAACATCAATATCGTTAACGTCCAAGATTGGTACCATGACACGACCGATGAAATACTTGTGAAGTATATGAATGCTTCTGATATACCACCAGAAGCGACACAGAGTTCTGGGTATGCTTTTCCAAGTGAGGTAGGTTACATCACCACGAATATACAAATTATGAGATCAGCGATTTTATTTTCATTTTTTTATATTTTATCCTTCAATAGTTTCTTCCGGATACTGGACTTATTGGTGGCACAATCTTTAGTAATACAAGTGAAATTAATAGACCTTATAAAATATACAACTTTACTCAGAACAATACTTATCGTCTTCGTTTAATCAATATGAGCCTGATGTCGATGTTCCTCTTTTCAATTGACGATCATGAATTTGAAGTTATTGAGGTTGATGGAATGTTAGTTCAACCCCAATTATTCAAACGAATTCCCATTAATACAGCACAACGATATTCCATTCGTGTTAAAGCTAATCAATCAATAAGTAATTATTGGATGCGTTTCGATTATCTCGGAGATTGTTATAGGGATGGTTTTCCTCCTGAAGAAAGTCCAAAAGCCATTGTTCGTTATAATGATGCGGATGAAATAGATCCGGAAACGGAACCGCACGATGAAGACATACTAAAATGCACGGATTTAAATGTGACTGCATTAACTCCTTTATGTGATAAGACACTTGATTATGTTCTATTTTGTGATTATAAACCTCCGTCGGTAATAGATTACGATTTCACCATGAATATAATTATGGATGCTTGGAAAGAACCGAGACAATATGACAAGGATGATGAATGGGAACAATACTTTTTTGGCTACATCGCAGACCGAGCACACGGCGAAGCTCCTTATGCTGAGCACCATTATAGCAATGTCTTGGATAATACTCTCTTGGATGTATTAAAAGTTAAAAATAATGGAAATAAACCGTGGAACGCAACCAATAATGCTTACAATCTAGTCAAAAGAGGTGCCACCGTCGACATATTATTCAAAAGTAAGTTATGGTTTATTAAGCTATATTTTCTACGCGAGAAATGTTTAAATCCTGCTTTACGCTAGGTGCTGACACAATGGAACATCCAATTCACTTGCATGGACATTTCTTCTATGTTCTTGGGTGGGGTGACGAAACAACTAAAAATATGATCAACGAGAGTTCATTGAATCTAGTTAACCCAATACAAAGA